CCCTCCCCCCCTAGGATTGGTGCTCCTGGAGTTGGCTCCGCCCCCAGGGTTGGTCTTCCTCTAGGACTCCCTCCTCCAGTGCAGCCCCACCCCCTGGGCTGCCTCCTCCAATAAGATTCCACACCCTTTCAAGGCTCAGCCCCCTAGGGTTTGTTCCTCCAATGAGGTTTCACTCCCACAGGCTCCGCCCCTGTATAGACCCCTCCCACCCCAAGACGGGCCCCACCCACTCTTAAAGCCCCAAGGGGGGGGCTCAGCCCTTTCCCCACCCACTTTTGGGAGGGGGCGGAGCCCTTCTGACCCCGCCCTCTGCCCCCAGTTCTGGGAAGTGATCAGCGACGAACACGGCATCGACCCCACCGGCACTTACCATGGCGACAGCGACCTCCAGCTCGACCGCATCAGCGTCTACTACAACGAGGCCACCGGTACGGCGTCACCCCTTCCCCTGTCACCCCTTCCCCGGCGTCACCCCTCCGTCCCCATCATCCCCTCCACGTCCCCATCCCACTCCGCCTGAGACCTGACACACTCAGCTCGCCCATTCCTCTTTCCGCCCCCTCGGGGTTTGGGGTGGTTTCTAGAGGTTTTGGGGGCGGGGAAGTGATGTGATGTTGTCACCATTGCAATCCCCCTGGTGACACGGCGATGTCCCCAGGGGGTAAGTATGTGCCAAGGGCCATCTTGGTGGACCTGGAGCCGGGCACCATGGACTCTGTGCGTTCAGGACCCTTCGGGCAGATCTTCCGGCCAGACAACTTTGTTTTCGGTGAGTCCCCGTGTCACCCGCTGTCCCATGGGGTCCCCATGTCATCCTAGGTGACCTGGAGGTGTGGGGTGGCATTTTTCTTTGGGGGCTATGAGGTTCTCAGTGGTGGTCCTTTGGTGACCATCACCATGGGGTGGGGTGGTGGGTCCCCTCTGTCCCCACTGGGGTGGCCCATGAGTGCCCTTCCCAGTAGAGCGACCCATCCCTCCTTGGTGGCCCTCAGGTGCTTGTCACAGTGGGGTGGCAGGTCCCCTTCTCGGTGGCCGGAGTCTCCTGTGTCCCCAGAGCTGCCCCCACTTTGATTCTGGAAGGGTTATTGGGGTCCCCAAATCAGGGGGATGAGGGTCCCCTAGGTGATGGGTGTCTCTGAGGAGCTCAGGGCACCCATGGGTGGCATGGAGATAACCTAAGGAGAATGGATGAGGTCCACGAGGAGCTTAAGACACCCAAGGGTGGGAGAGAGGTCCCCACGAAGGGTAACAAAAGGTCCCGTAGGAAGGTAATGGAGGTCCACAAGGAGCTTAAGGTTTCTCGGGACCAGCTGGAGGTCCCCAAGAGCAGGGATGGTGGTCCCCAAGGAGGTCAGATGTGGTCTGGGGTTGGACAGAGGTCCCTGAGGCGCTCAGTATGGCCCAAGGGTGGCGTGGAGATGAAGGAGGAGAGTGATGGAGGTCTCCAAGGTCCTCAAGAATGGTTTGGGGGTCTTGAAGGAGAAGGGTAGAGGTCCCAAGGGTCAGGTAGAGACACCCAACAAGGGCAGTGGAGGTGCTCAGGGTCCTCGAGGGTGGGATGGAGGTCCCCAAGGAGCATAAAGTTCCCCAGGGGTGGGCTGGAAGTCACCGTGGAGGGTCGCTGGAGTTCCCCCCCAAGGGTGAGATCAAGGTCTCAAGGTGAAGAAGGTTGGTTTGAAGGTCCCCAAGCAGGGTGACAGTCCTCAAAGGTGGGATGGGAGATCCCTGAGGTCCTCTAGGTTGGCCTGAAGGCCCCCAGGCTGAGTGAGCAAAGTCCCCAAAGAGCTCAGTTTCTCCCAGGGAGCTCCCTCCGTGACATCCCCCCCGTGTCCCCACCCCAGGCCAGAGCGGCGCGGGCAACAACTGGGCCAAGGGTCACTACACGGAGGGGGCTGAACTGGTGGATTCGGTCCTGGACGTGGTGAGGAAGGAGGCGGAGAGTTGCGACTGTCTTCAGGGCTTCCAGCTGACCCACTCGTTGGGTGGTGGCACCGGTTCGGGCATGGGGACCCTCCTGATCTCCAAAATTCGTGAAGAATACCCCGACCGCATCATGAACACCTTCAGCGTTGTCCCGTCTCCCAAGGTGTCAGATACGGTGGTGGAACCCTACAACGCCACCTTGTCTGTCCACCAACTTGTGGAGAACACGGACGAGACCTACTGCATCGATAACGAAGCTCTCTACGACATCTGCTTCCGTACCCTGAAGTTGACCACTCCCACCTACGGTGACCTCAACCACCTCGTTTCTGCCACCATGAGCGGCGTCACCACCTGCCTGCGTTTCCCTGGTCAGCTCAACGCCGATCTCCGTAAGTTGGCCGTCAACATGGTGCCCTTCCCGCGTCTTCACTTCTTCATGCCCGGTTTCGCCCCTTTGACGTCACGCGGCAGCCAGCAGTACCGCGCCCTCACCGTCCCCGAGCTCACCCAACAAGTTTTTGACGCCAAAAACATGATGGCAGCCTGCGATCCCCGTCACGGCCGTTACCTCACAGTGGCCGCCGTCTTCCGAGGTCGCATGTCCATGAAGGAGGTAGACGAGCAGATGCTCAACGTGCAAAACAAGAACAGCTCTTACTTCGTCGAGTGGATCCCCAACAACGTCAAGACGGCCGTGTGCGACATCCCGCCGCGTGGCCTCAAGATGGCCGTCACCTTCATCGGCAACAGCACGGCCATCCAGGAGCTCTTCAAGCGCATCTCGGAGCAGTTCACGGCCATGTTCCGACGCAAAGCCTTCCTCCACTGGTACACGGGCGAAGGGATGGACGAGATGGAGTTCACCGAGGCCGAGAGCAACATGAACGACCTGGTTTCGGAGTACCAGCAGTACCAGGATGCCACCGCCGAGGAGGAGGAGGATTTTGGTGAAGAGGCCGAAGAGGAGGCCTGAGGGACGGCCCTTGTCCTTCACTGCCGTTGTCATCCTCGGAGAGCCCTCGTCCTTCGCTGTCATTGTCTTCAGAGAGCCCTCGTCCTTCACCGTCGTCCTCGGAGAGCCCTCGGCCTTCATCCTCGGAGAGTCCTTGTCCTTCATCATCGTCCTCGGAGAGCCCTTGGTCTTCATCATTGTCCTCGGCCTTCATCATCATCTTCAGAGAGCCCTTGTCCTCCACCATGGTCCTTGGAGAGCTCTTGGCCTTCGTCATCAATCCTCAGAGAGCTGTTGTCCTTCACCATCGTCACCAGAAAGCTCTTGGCCTTCCTCACGGTTGTCCCCTGAGCCCTCAGCCTTCGCTGTTGTCACTGGAGAGCCCTTGGCCTTTGTCATCCTCAGAGAACCTCCAGCCTTTCTCCTCGTCCCCAGGAAGCCCTTGGTCTTCACCAGTGTCCTCAGCACTAGAGTCCTCGTCCTTCATCGCGGTCACTGAAGAGTCCTCGTCCTTCATCATCGTCACCAGAGTTCTCGTCCTTGGAGCGTCCCTGTCCTTCACCACCATCTTCGTCACCATCCCCTCTCCGTTGTCACTGTCCCCAGAAGGTCCCTGTTGCTCCAGAGCCACTGTCCCCTCCGTGTCACCCCCCCTTGTCCCCATGTCCCCCACTGCCGGGGGTGACATCACCACTAAATTATTGCAGCCCCCGGGCACCAATTCGCCCCCTTTCCACCCAAAACCACCACTCCAGTGCAGGGGGCTCCCGGGTGGCCCTGTCCCCTGTGTCCCCAACCGGAGGCTCTCCTGTCCCCTCCATGTCCCCTCCCCCCAAATCCATCCTTTTTTGGTTTGTTTTTTTCCCTTTTTAAGCTTTTTTTTTTTTTCCTTCCTTTTTTTTTTTT